GCAACCCTGTGGATGAGACATCTCCAAGACTTCCTATCCTCCACTGCTCCACTTAAATTTTGTAGACCCATGCCCTGACCTCCCTGCTTGAGTCTAGCCATCTGGCATGTGGTCTTCCTCTCTTTTCACTACCTTCAACTTTTCCCAGCATTGGCCAAAAACAGATGGGCCAAATGACATGGTTTCCTGTCATGTTCGGAGCGTAGCATTTAAATGCCTCATGTACGGCCAGAAACCTCACCGATGCCACATCTTTCCAAAGGAACTGGGCCAAAAAGGAGCAGTAAAATATTGTTCCTTTTGCCAGCCTGATTCAAAACTGTGGCAGTGGCCTGGATTGGGGCTGGGTGTGTGTGGTCCCTGTGGCCCTGGCATAAATTGCGATGGCCCAGCCTCGTCATGGTTTTTTCAGACCATCTGTTTCAGGCCTTGATTGTCTTTTCTAATGAGCCATACCTTCTCATGATGTGGCCAAAGTACGACAGCCTCAATTTGATCAACTTGGCTTCTATGGGTATTTCAGGCTTGACCTGTTCAAGGACCCATTTATTTGTCTTTTTAGCTGTCCACAGTATCCTCAGCACATTTCTCCAGCACCACTTCTCAAATAAGTTGATTTTCATTTCATCCACTTTCTTCACCATCCTGCTCTCACATCCATAAATAGTGGTGGAGAATACCATGGCTTGGATGAGTCTAAATTTTGTGCTCTGTTGTATATTCTTTAGGATCTTTTCTAGCTCTTGCATGGCTTTCCTTCCCATTCCTAATCTTCTTCTAATATCTTGATTGCAGTCTATTCAATGTTTGATCCAAGGTATGAGAAATCTTTTCACTATTTTGACACTATCCATGAAAGCAAAATGCATTCACCATGTCTCTTGCACCTTTACAGACTGCCAGAAATAGTACAAATTGAGGCCACTTTAACTGTCTTGGCTCAGTGCTAAGGAATCATGGGAACTGTAGTCTATTGTGGCACCAGAGCTCTCTGACAGAGAAGGCTCAATGTCCCAGAAAAAAAAAATACAATTCCCATGATTCCTTAGCACTGAGCCAGGATGGTTAAAGTGGCCTCAGTTTGCACTATTTCTGGCAGTCTGTAAAGGTGGGTTTTGGAGCAAATGAAATAAGCTCCTCAGTCAGCTTGGCCCATCCTAACAACAAGTTAAGGATAACAACAAGTTATCCATCATCTTTCTTGTTAACAACAAGGAGAGCAACAAGTTATCCATCATCTCAACAGACGCTTCCTGGGACTTTGGCTCACACAATCAGACATGCAGCATTTAGCATTCCAAGCCATGCATGAGGTACTGGAACCCCTTTCACTGTCCCTGAACCACTGCTGGGTGCATCTTCCTCTTGTAAAATGTTTGTAGCTCAGGAATCTCTGGAATGGGACCTCCCTCATCTCTCTGTGCACTGGGAGGAAAAGAGCCAGGGGAAATGAAAGCATACATGTCAAAGAAGCTCTATGGTTAAATCCCAGCTGTGTCTCATCTGACTTGTTCAAGACAAACTGCCTCTAAACAAATCTTACCAAGAAAACCCTCTTGAAGGTTTGCTGTAGGGTCTCCATAAATTGGAAACACTTGAAGGCACACCACCATCACCACTGCTGCAACAAACCACAACTAATTCTGATAAAGGCCATTGTTAGTATTCTCTCACCACCCACAGACACTTCGGCTCTGGGACTTTTTATGAGGGGGAGAAAAACATTTCACAACTGCTTTCACTACTCCCCACTGTGGATTCCAAGTACTTGACAACTCTTGTTTACCACTGAATGGTGCAGGGGAAGTCCAAAACATTGTATCTCTCACATGCTGAGGGAAGAGGAAGTAAACTGGAGGGGGAGTTTTTGGGGTAGCAGGACATTGCCTCTTAAAGAGGGTAATGTTTCTGCTTTTTAAAGAACACACTGACTTTTCAGCGATGGGGAGAAAGTTTGGAGGCTATGCAAGGTTACTTTAGAAAGCAGAAATGTAACTCTCTTTAAAAGGCAATTCTGAAAGAAAGCACCAGAGTCCATGCATACAGGAAAGGATGTAAATGAAATCAGGAATGCCTTATATGCTTATATATTCAGCATAGATCACTGTCAAGGGACTTTTGCCTCGCCCTGTATATAACAGCACTGTGGGCCTTTAGCATTTGCTGGGTTTGGTTCCAGGACAACCCCCCACCCAACCCCATGCATAACAAAATCCGTGTATGCGCAAGTCCCACTAAATACAATGACATAATAAAATTGAATTTTGTTGTTGTTGTTAACT